TTACTAATGAATTTCAAAATGGGTTGGACAAACATCTCATGAGCAATTAGACAGTGTTTTCAGATTTCATTTTCATGGTTCAGTACTGTTTTCATGGTTCAGTACTGTTTTTACATTTTTGTAATAATGTTCAACACTATTTTATGTGTTATGTTCGTTTTCATTCAGTATCCATTTTAAAACCTAACGGTTGATTAATCAGTTATCGGCCAGTGTGGTCCAACCTAGATATCTTTATTGGTAAAATCCACTATCAGTCGACTTCTAGATATTATGATAACTCAGTTTCACCCGACAATGTTTACTGTGCCTAGAGGGAGAAAATGACATACTGTGATCAAATATAATCAACTTGTTTACAAGCTCCACGGAGCCACCCAATGCATTTAGTTATAACTGTGAGTTTTAGTTTGCGTGCTCTGAATTTATCATGGATTCACTGCATTTACGGCCAGCAAAGCAACATGTTGCAACATGTTCTAATAGTATTTTTATTTTTCGAATAGTTCTTACAGAGTGAATATATTTTGAATACTCGACTTTTCGTGCACACCCCTAATTCTCACCTCCAGGCTTTTGTTATTACAAACCGAGTAGTGCCTTAGTTGAAATTTCCCAATTTTCTCTGAGCAGCTCACTAAAACTCTACCACATCATATGAGAAATGAGATGTTCCCCAGTTCTTTTGGAAAATCACTGGAATAAGATGTGTTCAGACCAGAGGAGTCAGTATCTTTGTCAATACTTGGGCTAGAATGACAGGAAGTGTGTGGCTACACCTCAATAATGTTTGAATCATCACAAAGATTCAAACTCTGGGGGTTTTGCAATGTCAAGCTACAGTCTTCACCTGTCTGTCTGACCAAATATACATGACGATTGCATACTTAAAGGATTAAATACACATTTGTTGTTTCACCTCTGTAAGACGAAACAATAACACCAGGTCTGAGTTTAAAAATCCATGTTATGCACTTGTCAAGTCAATTTTATTCGTATGCACATTAGGGGTGCACGATTCAGAAAATGTCACGATTCGATACCGATTTTTTGTCTCAAGATTCGATTCAAAATCGATTTTCGATTCAAAAACGATTCTCGATTCAAAAAACGATTCGCAGTATATTAATGTAGTTTACTTTTTCCTATGTGATTGATTGCAGTAGACACAATTTAAAAGAACAAAAACACAACAAATTAAATGTAGTTTGATATTACTTTATATGTTTTCATACAAAAATAAAAACTTTTGCAACTAAAAAGTGCAAAGTGCCAAGCTTTGGCCAGCTTTCAAATACATTTAATTCAAGTTTAAAATAAAACTTAAATAAAAAGCTTTTACATTTAGCTTTAAAGTGCTGTAGTCAGATCAAACAATTATGCTAAATGTGGTTTAAGGACTACTTCAGCTACCAGGCTGACTGTTGAAATGTGAACTCGACTGGCCACATTGAACTTCCTAAAAATATATACTAATGTCATAGAACCCTTGCGAAATTATTTTAAATAGATTTTAAAAAGCCACCGCTACTGGTAACATCTATGGTTAGATTAATTTGTTTAGATCCAGTGAAGTCGTTCATAGGCGTAATTTGCGGGTATCTCCAGTTAACTAGCAGAGCATTCATTTAGTTCGCTATTAAATAAGAGATCTGTTGTTTTTGAAATCAAGCTGCGCGCTCGTTTTCCGCTGCTATCAGTGTCATGGATACAGTGTTCTCTGTGGGCTGTGGCTCGCGCAGTCTTCACTCGGACACGCGCTTCATATCGCCGTTGTGGAGACTTGATGAACATGATGGGTTTTGATGAGAGAGAGAAAAAACTAAACGAGTGCGGTTTAGAACCCGTAACCTCTGACACGCTTGGCAAAAGATCTACAGAACTCAAACATAAGATCTGCGTATCGATGCATTTATTTACGGGTTGAGCAGAGAGGCTGCAGTTTGACCAGCGGGCGGCAAGAACTTGCAATGTAACTATTTATCAGACCGGCCCTCGCGGCCTCGAAACACTACCGGACCACCGGTAAAAGTCCTGACTCACCCGATTGCCACTCCGCCCGTGCACGCCATTAAAAAAAATATATGAATCGATTTTTGGAATTCTATGAATCGATTCTGAATCGGTAAAGATTGAATCGCGATTCAAATGTGAATCGATTTTTTTGCACACCCCTAATGCACATGCTTTCCACAACACGTTGTTTCAAAGCAGCTTTATTTAAAAAGCATGTTAATGTTTATAATACTTAAACTTAGTATCGCATTGTACCTCTTCACACATGCTTTAACCTCGATCATTTGTTTAAACTATTTGTTTAAACTATTTGTTTAGGACTGATCCCATGGTATCTATGTAATGATGATACACCGAATCTATTAATGAGGATGAATCTAATGTGTAGCTTATTCTGCTCTGCACATAAAAGTAATACATAAAGCCTGACTGAATCGAATTTCTTCACAATTACACTGTAAAATCAGATTGAATTCTTCTCCTGAATCAAATATTTTATAAGTGGATAGTAAATGAGAGTTTAAAATTAAGTCAGGCACACACAACACAACGCAAAGGTTCTTTTAAAACAGACATAGGCACGCGAGGTGAATTGACATTATTGTTTTAAATATGCAAAAGAAAATTATGTGTTTTTATTTATTGAAATCTGTTTTTCTGTCTCCTTTAGTTTCTTAATCAGTTCTGTTTGGGAGTTAAAGTTGGGCAAATTACTTATGGGAAATCAGAGGCAACTGAGTGTGAAGAGTGTGGTTCTGGTAATCCTGAAAGCCAAAGGCCAAGCGCACCTGATGACTGGTGCCAAGCATTTATACCAGCAGGGCATTCGCTGGCCTCCAGGTGCTCCATTGCGGTTCCTTGCTTAGGACCTATCTGGTTTCACTTTCCCTGGTGACTGTTTCACGGAGGGTTACAGTTCTCTTTGAAGGTTTGCCCCCTTTTCTGAGGGGGAGCTTTGGTAAAATAACACCAACTAACATCTGAGTCTTTTGTGTGGCCCCAGCTCTTGAAAACAAATTGCACATCTGAAATCTTACTCAGAGTATCCATTTTCTACATTTTACACTTCTTAAGAGATCAAAATCATTCAAAACATGCAGAAGCCAATAGCAGAAAATTAATATATTTTTTTAAATAAACATAGTTGCCAGAAGCTGGAAATGATGTACTGTATAAAAGTGTCCCATACATAGCTGGATTATCTCCCTCAAATTTGACATGAAATGTAAAAGCATGTTTAGTAACAGATCAGACACACATATGACTTAGATCTTCGCCTTGCTGAGATGCATTAGCAACAGCTGGGTTTTTTTCACAAACTGCTTTGTCCACACTCATGCCCAGAGGACCATGCATTCCCTTCTCTACATGGCAGTGAACAAGGAACTGAGGAAAATGGGAAAACATAGACTAAGTAGTGTACTCATTTTCTTGAGGTCATCAATTCAAAGACTACATCCCACAAGTACCCTATGAAGGACGTTGATTGTTTGCACAAAAGTGGCACTAGAACTTATTGAGAAATAAAGAAAGAAGCGTTTTATGATTCAACATCTCACTACATTAACTTTTATTTGAAGCAGAAACACTTGAAAAGCATGGACACCCCTCAATGAATTTGGTCAAACTGCATTCTTTACATCCTTTAGTCCTACATGCAAAGTATAAGTGTATGTGTAATGTGTCAATTGCGACACAACTGATTAGACATGTTCTATGAGGTCATAATAAGTAACTTAACTTAAAACTATAAAAAAATGAGATGTGTCTGTGAACAATAACATCTCAAAGAATGTCCCCAAAATTAAAGGTCTTCATGTCATTTCCCCCTTTTCATGAAACAGGTGAGGAAGGGACAATCCATGTTTAACATATTCTGAATGACAGGAGTAGATTATTCTAAACATCAATTATCTTAACTCTCACTTTTAACAGCAACATGGACAACATAGTCCCAGTGAGTTAAATGGCTATTCATGGATATGGATGAAGAATTACATTAAGAACGATGTTGAAAAACAGTTGGAAAACGTGTGACAAAAACATGTATGACCTAAGAGTGACTGTAGCAGGACAATGAACACAGACTGGACGGCCTAGAGCACACGCGACACGCAAAATAAAAGACGGTTAAACATGCCGGAAATCTTTTCATAGACTGCACTTTTCCCCACTAACATCAATAAACTGCTTTCATTCATTTATGAACCCTTTAATTATCGAATGGAGATGTGTGGTTTAATATCCAGAACTACACGATAGCCTTCGGGCTCGACTGGGCGGAGACCAGCAAGCTGACAACACTGTTTCTAATGATATTCATTTTAAAGCGCAGAGCATACCGGTAATTACAGTGCGTGGAAAAAAACAACTCCCTTCACCAACGTGGGGTGAAGGGGGCATGAAATTTATGGGCGTATGTTTTGAACACACCCAGGATAATGCCGACATACAGTACAGCATTTTATGAGAACACGTGACGGGACTTTTTATTCTCCGGTGTTGTTGGTGAATGAATGTAACGTGATAAAATGACCAAAATGAAAGATCATCCGTTGGTCACAGTATAGGCTACTCGGTCACACACCCAGACCTACAAGAGGCTTCATTTGACTCAACTGGAGATGAAGCCAAAAGCGTACAATCACACAAGCTTTACAGTTCTGCAAACCAACTACAACCCGTCCAGAGAAATTCATTGATTGATGATGGGGCGCTTTTGTGCACGTGGGAACTGTCCCTTTGTCAAATGACAAAGATGAATTCGACCCCTTTCTTTAACACGCTCCATGCCTTTTTGTCCAGGCAATTTTCTCATAAGGACATTCAATAACAGCAGACAGTATAACTGAGCCATTTTCTTTGGAGTGGGATATTGGCGATCCCCAGTGCTTTCCTAATATAAACCTAGTTTAACAGAACGCAGCACAAGTTAAAGCCTATAAGAGTCTCAGACATAAGATGAGATAATAGTGGTCACTTACCCAGAAGCGAAGAGCTCTGCAATTCTTCTATGAAATCAGCCAACAATTAACGTTATTTGTAGGAGTAGCCTACTAAAGATAAATATCCCACGTCCCTGGTGGTGAATAGCGCAGTATATAGGCCTTTACCAAAAGGGCAAATTATTAATTCGCCCGATTCAATCCTTCCAGTCTCCTATTGACACATTTCGGTTTCCTCTCCCATTCTCTCCCGGAGAACGGAGTTTGCTGCGCGTTGCTCGCGTCCCGTTTCCTGTCCTGCCCAGATTCAGCGCTCGACCAATCAGCCGATCAAAAGGAGGTGCGTGGATCGCCTCTCTCTTCACAACAGCACACCAGCAGACCGCTACTGGTGCAAGAGAACAAGAGGCGTGAGCCTTGTGGGTGGAGCTTGACGTCCAACTCCCCCTCGCTAGACGTAATGGGTGGAACTAGACGGTCCAACCACACCCTATCCCATTCCCTACCATAACACTATCGCTAAACAAAACAAAACTCCACCCATTGAGTCCACAGAGGTGGAACTGGACTAGATCAGGCTCCACCCATTAGGTCCAGAGGGGCGGAGCTGGATCTGGACGTCACTGGCTCTGCATTGAGCACCACTTGCAACGGACAGCACATGTGTGCATGTATCATGGCACTGACTGGATTACAGACGGCTAAAATAATAAAATACATCTGTTTTATTAGATAGTCACCCAGGATTAGTTTTCTGGAGACCCGTTTTGCATAATTTAGACGCAGTCTTGATTTCTACGACTTTTCGAAATTGTTAAATTTAAGTTAATTTCAATTCTAGATTAAATATTCAATTTTATTCTTAGTCAATGACTTTTTTAATCAATCATTCAACAAACTTAGCATTTCGTTTGTTAGTTGGGCAACGTTAGTAAATGAACTAACAGAAAGTAACGTTCTCCCCCCAGCGGACAAAACCAAAACTGCTTGAGATCAACAGTAAGGTTTTGCCACTTTAAGTATTAAAGCAAACGCCAAGCTATTAATAAAGTGATAATAATTAATAAGTATATATTAATAAGTAAAAAATAATAATAAATAATACTCAAACTATAATAAATTAACTATATTATTAATAATACATTAACTAATTATTTATAATACATTATATAAATGAGGTAATATGTTTATGTAATTATATTGATAATTAAAATATTATATATTTTTATTTGAATCATTTTTTATATAAATACAACCCCATTTACAAAAAAAAGTGGGGGCATTTTGTAAAATACAATACAATCAAGAATCTGTGATTTGTTAATTCTCTTGAACCTTTATTTATCTGACAAAGGTACAAAGAAATGATTTCCAATGTTTTCAGTAACTAACTTAATTGTATTTTGTATAAACAAATGTTGATTTTGATGGCTGCAACACTCCCTAAAAAGTTGGGACAGAGGCAAAATAAAAGTACAGAATATCCAAGTTAAACAGTTTTGTACACAATAAGTACAGTACACAATAAGCAGGTGAACTGAGGGTATCATTATTGAGTATTAGCCATTAACGCATTCAATTCAAATTTATTTGTATACCGCTTTTCACAATACATATTGTTTCAACGCAGCTTTACAGAAAGTGCATTTCAGAAATGTACATAGAAAAAATACAGTTAGTTAATCATGTATTAATTTAGGGCATAACATATCGCCGGCGTTGAGTCGTCTCTTCACAGGAAGACCCGGGATGTCATTATATTTTTTCTGCACAACAATAATCGAATCTTTGAAGACTGAATAAGTGCAATTCACCTTAATTCCACACGGTAGCAATGTCTGACAAACAATGATGAACAATCAAATATTAGTGTCACTGTCACTTGGTGGTGGATCTGGTAAAGAAGCTGTCAGCAATTAAAATATTGATTTTGAAGATGTTGAAAAAGATATAGTTTTGAGAATATGCTTGAGATCATGAATATGAGCCAGATGCTGAATGTAGGCTTACTAGGATATGAGCTCTGCCTAGGGCAGTGATGATGGTATAAAACATCTGCTCAAACTGTCCAGAAAATAAGCTTTATTTTATTCTTCTGTAATTGTTACTCTAATATCAGGTGAGTTTTATACTACAGTGACAGGTGGTATCCATCCGTGTTAGATATAGATGATGCATTTAAGGGTTAAAGGAGCCTCCACCAAAGGCTCAGTCTTTGCCAGCAAAGATGGGTCATGGCTCAGCACTTTGTGCCAAATTTCATGAGAGAATTGTCAAACAATTCCAAAATCACATTTCTCAATGCAAGATTGCCAAGAATTTCGGTCTTTCACCATCTACCATATATACAATTCTGAAAAGATTCAGGGAATCCAGAGAATCCTGTTACGCAAGGAGAAAGCTATTCATCAATTCTATCTATGCAGAGATGCCGGCGAGTTCTCTGGGCCAGAGCTCATATCAGATGGTCCAAAAGACAGTGGAAATATGTGCTGTGGTCAGATGAGTCCATGTTTCAGCTTTATTTGGAAAAAAACAAACATCGAGTTCTCAGTCCCGAACACAAAAAGAAACATCCAGACTTTCATCAGCGACTGTTGCAAAAGCAAACATCTATCATGGTATGGGGGTGCATCAATGCATCAGTGACTTGCATGTGTGTGAAGGTACCATTGACATGGAGGCATATATTGGGAATGGGATTGAGACATATTGCCATCTAGATGACATATTTCATGGGAAGCAAGACAATGTCAGGCCTTATTCTGCACATGCTACAACAGTGGATGTGCCTGACTGCCTGTCTGCAGGCCAGATCTGTAAAATGTATGGGCCATCATGAAAAGGAGAATCAGACAACGATGACCATGGAAAGTTTAGCCGCTGTCTTATATCAGGCAGGATTGGGCAAAACTTTCTCCTCAAAACTCAAAAAAGTGTAAAAACTATTAAAAAAGTGCAATTAAAAGGAAAGGTGACGTGACACAGTGGGAAACATGCCTCTGTCACAGCTCTTTTGAAACGTGTTACAAATCACAGATTATTTGATTTAAATAGCATTTTACAAAATGTTCCACAAAAAATCAACACAAAGTGCACACATCCAAAGGGCAGAAATGCTCAATGAGGGTGCTCAACCACAAGAAAAATAAAAAAAGGAGGGAAAAGTTTGCACACCACAGCACAAAAAATAGATAAATATATGTATTTTATGTTCTCACCACACACACAGGTGACGTTTCTAGACAAAGTGGATGATGAAGACCAAGTTTGTCTGATGAAGGGAGCATGAAATAAATGTGGGAGCTGTGGTTTGCCAACGTTTACTTCCTATGTCCCAACTTTTCTGGAAATGGGGTTGCACATTTATTTATTTGTTTGATTTTTTTTTAAAACTTTATTTATATAGCATTCATTTGGCAAAGCATTTGTACAACCTTAAACATGAAAACATTGTAATATTTTTAAGGTCTGTAAAATATGTTGGATGGAATATAACACATGCATGGGACTTCATTCTGATGTTCCAATACTTTCTGTTTGGAAGCACTATTATACCCATGAATGGGAGGCTCTGTAAACATGTTGTCACGTTTTGTGGTTCACGCAGGAAGTAGATTTAAGGGGGTGCTAGTGCATGTAGGGGTCTGAAACCAGTTAGGTTTAGATCTAAATATAAAGATAACCACAAAACCTCATTATTTGCATCTGTTCTCATCTCATGAATAATATAAGAGGAAACTTGATTAATCTTTCCTTCCATTAAGGAAAGAGCACAACGAACACAGATCATCGTCAGCATCGTGGGTTGGTTTCAGTGTTCTGTGAGTTGGTTGCCATAGAGATCACAAAGTGCACTGCCTCTGACGTGCACCCAGTTTTAGGCTAGATTAAAAACAGGAAACATGAAGACTTACTAAATCAGCGTAAAGGCATTCCCCCCCACATCATGTGTTTGAATGTATTACCTTGGGAGTCAGACAGTCAGAAAATGCTTTTAATGCACTTTTTAAAAAATGCATGCAGGCCCTTTCGGATCAAGGGTGTGTACGTTTCATTTTAACTTTGAAGAGCCTCTAGGAGCTGGCTTTCTTTTTCTTCCTCCCTCTCCCCCTCTCTCTTTCACTTTCTGCATCTGTTACTCTCAAGCACAAACCCACTTTAACCCTAAATAACCCCCCCGACAATACTCAAACAGACACCCACAGGGGTCTCCTTTACTACCTCCCCTCAATGAGGAAACACCAGCTACTGTATGATACCATGAGAATCTCTGCCAAACGCACTATATGAAACCTTAACATGCAAATAACATCAACCACAAAGGGTGCAAGGAGAAAATGGAAACTTCCTGTTTGGCTTGCGATCTGTTTCTCTGTTACACCGAAGGTTGAATTTGCCATACAAGCACGCCATATTGCCAAAACTAAAGGCAGATCTGCCGTTTTTAACAGCACTTCCATTGTGTGACTTATAATACAACAGATGGAGATTTTCAGGACATCTGTGACCCTCTTAAGTCTCTGTCTCTTCCATAGCACCCGATCTGAAACACAGAGCATGTGCAAAGGTAAGATCTTGCAATGCAATACAGTGGGTTACACGACACTCATACAAGTTATAAGCCATTCTTTTCTTAAGTCTTATCTAATGTTATCTTGTGTATCTAATGTTATCTTATCTAATGTTATCAGTTGTAGCTCTATCGAAAATAAGTAATCGAATACAATTTTTAGCAAGACACCCAGCTAACAGAATTTTGTTATAAGAACGTTCTCCAAATATTTAGTGTTGGTTCTGGGAACGTGAAAAATGTCCAGTTTTCTTGACGTTAGAGGAACGTGTTAAAAAGGTATAATGTTCCTCAAACGTTCTTTAAAACATAATTATCGATAAAAAAATTCAACATGATAATAATGTTGATTTCTAACATACCAAGAACATAAAAATGTCCAGTTTTCCAAAACTCAAGAGTGTTAAAGATTCAAGAGTGTTAAAGTATTAAAATCACATTTTCTCTTTGTTCATTTGGCTGTCATAACAAAAAATCTAAAGTTAAACATGTAAAGGTCAACTGCCCAACTAAACCAAACACTGATCCCCATAATGGTGACTAAATTAGATTTTTCTTCTTCAGTGATTCTGCTTGTTATCATCAGGTGTCTTCAATAATGCTCAATCATCACTCAATCAATAACTTAAATAGCACATTAACTTTAACTCTCTTCAGTGTTAATTTAAAACTCAAATTTTAACACTTTAACACTCTTGAGTCTTTAACACTCTTGAGTTTTTGCTGTGTAGTAACATTTAGGAAACTGGACATTTTTATGTTCTTGGAATGTTAGAAATCAACATTACTATCATGTTGAATTTTTAATCGAAAATTACGTTTAAAGAACGTTTGAGGAACATTATACCTTTTAAAACACGTTCATCTAACGTCAAGAAAACTTGACATTTTTCATGTTCCCAGAACCAACACTGAATATTTAGAGAACGTTCTTATAACAAAATTCTGTTACCTGGGCAGGCTGCTTATTTAGATAAACAAACCTTGATAATGTTAGCTGGTGCATTATTGCAACCACATTTTGACTATGCAGTAACTTTCTGGTATAGTGGCTCTAAGAAACGAGTTAAAAATAAATTACAGACTGCTCAGAACAGGTTGTGTAGAATCGTTCTGGGGTTACATCCTCGTACGCAACTGAATAATAATCATTTTAGGGATTTTTTTTTTTTACGTGGATAAAAGGGTAATTTTTATTAAAATGATGATGGTGTACAATATAATGCAGAGAACTGTTCCTAAATACTTGTATGACTACTATGTTTTTGTGAGAGATGTTCATGGTATTTCTACAAGGGCAAGGATAAATAATATTTGTACCGGTTTAAAAGTGTAGTTGGGAAGAATTCGTTTTTGTACTTGAGTGCAGTTGCTTGGAATGAATTGTCAGAGTATTTAAAACAATTACAAGAGGCATGGCCCTTTAGAAGAGAAGTTAAAAAATGGCTTTCCAATTAAGATCCCGTATGAATTTATGAATTAAGGTGTGAGATGTTTGTTTTTTATTTTATTCCCACTGGAACTGTTCGTCCATTTTATGCATATAGAGGACCACAATGGAAATAAGCCTGAGGCTTTTTTGTGTATTTTATCCTCGACAATTTGTCTTGAAATGTGTATATATGAATTGCCTTTGGCATGATTATATTTGTTTAAGATCATTGTTGAATAAATCAAATCAAATCAAATCAAAATATCTGAAGTCTTGTATAATGTATCTAATGTATTATGGCTGATATAGTTTTATTAAATAATTTTTACTTGAATAAAAGGAGTTACTGTAGGATTAGTACTTTTTGTAGATTGTTTTTTTTTTATGGAAAAACCCCTAATTTAGGATAGGATGGAATGTGACCTGAGACCAGTGTCCTTGGGTTTATAACTGCAAGCAGCTTAGAGCAGAAAGGCCTGCAATGGCAAACTAAAATATTAAAAACGAAAGTCTCCATTTTGATATGAAGTCTCGGTTAATAGAAAAAGTATATTTTAAGTAGAAATTATGCAATGTAAAGTCACAATAACAAGATACCATAAAATATTTTGTTTACACCCTGGTAAAAGTTTGTGTGGGCTGACGGGAATGCCCTTATGGTAGTCAAATATAAATAAATAAATAATCATATTTAAGAAGATTAATCTTAAGAGGTCTTGTGGAGTCCATATATATATATATATAATAAAAACCTCATAATAGGCCATAAATGCATAATGTTTATAACCTGTAAATGAACACTAGATCATTTTTATAAGCGGCAAAATAATACAAGACATTTTAAATCTTGGTGCTTTACCTGTTGCTCCGTATCTTCTTCCTCACCATTTTTTCAATATACCTATAATATCCTTTTGTGTGGATGCTGAACAATAAATAATAATCTACTCTGCTACTTTGTCGCTACAATCTGCTGCTGAAGTGCGGTTAAGTGCACTTAGTCATTAAGATTTTCAACAACACAGTACAACAATATAGAAGAGAACTGATGATTTGAATGAAGTCTTATTTATATAATAAATAAAAAATGTTTGGAAAAGCAAGTAAAGTTAGTTATGTAGGCCTATGTGTAAATATAATTTTCAATTTTTAATTTTAGTTTTTCTTTTTCTGTCTTACATGTCAGTCACACCGAAATCTGAGCAACAACATACATTTCTGCCATTGTATGAGTTGCTAAATTTCTTAAATATCAAAATACAATCTAACTGATTGAGGGAGGATTAGATAAATTAAATATTATGCAGTCAGACTCATTTACAGTACAATCAGTTTTACCACAAACGTTTAATTTGTGAGGCCACAAAGTACAATTGAACCCATTGAACCCAGGTGGGATACGGGTAAGGATAAGCACAGGTTTGGTGGTATGGTTAGGTTCAGGGGTGGGTTAAGGAGTAAGGGAAGGGTCAACAGTGTAATTCGATGCAAATTTATTACAGCTGTAATTACATGCAGGTATTTAAAACATATAAATATAAATACAACGTAAAACATGGATGTACACAATAAATGCATTGTATCAAATGCCTAATTTAAATGTAAGACACTTAATATAAAGTGGGACCTTGCAACAAATATTCTATACATTGTGCAACAAGCTGACATGTTTGGCATTGCCACTGACATTCTGACAAGAGAAGATGTAGTGCTGAGAGAGTTAATGATTCTTCACGAAGATGATTCACTCTTTCCTTTTTTGTTTCCAAAGTGAGGTTCAAAGCAGTTTGTTCTCACAGAAATAGTCTCTATGACAACATTTCTCCACTCTTACAGGCAAAAGTTGTGATGAAAGATTTGTGAAAGCAAGAAACCAGTCAAACGGTTCTTCAGGTTTGTTATTCTGGCATTTTGTAAGTGCCTGTGTGCCTAACATAAAGTTATTCAGACCACCACAAACTAAAAAGACAAAACTATAAATTACTGTTCTTATACCCATAGTTTATTTTTTTTTAAAGAAGTGCATATATCTTATTGGAATAGCAATGTAACTGTAAGATAGGAAACATAGAGAGCCTATGAGCGATCTTGAGAACAGAAGCCATCTTCTGCTGCAACGTGGGTGACTGTGGTGATTTGTGGATTCCATAACCACTTCTGCAAAATCTTCTTCAAGTATAAAATAAATAATGTAATAAATTAACATCATGCCAAACCAATAAGAGATTTCAGGTTTTGAAAAATGAAAGCTTGAATACTATGCATTAAGATGTTGTGAGATGTTAATGATGGAACTATGTGACTTTTGTCTTCTCTATACTGCAGGCAATCTCCCACCGGTTAAGCATGTGGCAGTGAACAGCAATGTCAATGTGCCCTGCCCTGTACTCAGTGCAACAGAAATGGACTTCAAATTATTTAAAGGCCCAGACATGGTCACCTCCATTTCTATCAAGATAAATGATACATCCAACAACATAAATAGCAAGAGCCCAGATTTCCCTGCCAATCTCAGTGTTAATGTTATGGATAACAGTACCAGTTTCATCCTGCTTGGTGTGACTACGAATTTTACAGACCTGTACACCTGTGAGGCCGAGATAAACTATCCTCCTCCATTTAAGAAAGTGCCATACACACCACAAACTATTGTGTTTGTTGAAGGTATATTTTAAATGGTTGTTAATGTATAACAAGACTAAAAAGATGAGCATTATCTAGACAAAAAAATTGCCAATATGACTTCATGTACAGTTTAAAGTCACATTTTGTGTTGCTCTTTTTGTGTGGGTTTGTCAACAGAGAGCCCAGTTAAAAGGCGTGATCTCTGTCAACACGAGAGTCACCTGCTTTGGTGGGTCGTGTTTGGAGTCATGGCCATATATGGGCTGGTAATGACTTGCATCGTTTTCTTTTTGCGGGTAAATACTTATATTTACATTTACAAAAATGCTCATTCAACACATATTTCAATACGTGAAATCAGTCTATTACAGAGTATTAGAGTTGTTATCAATTTGGCTAAAAGATTTCTCATGTAATCAATATAATATTATATTATATTTAAATAATGGCATGCAGTTATAATGATTATAGATAATGCAAATATTTTTACAGTATAATTTGCTGACAAGAATTGATTTATTTAAGGCCTGATTTAAACTCCACAGTTTTTTGAAATGTTGACTAATTTATAATAGCTGTTGCTGATATTGCTCTTGGTCAATAATTGTATTTTTTTTTTCCTTTCTCATGCCTTCAAATCAGATCAAGTGCAGTCAAATTGATACTCCCTTCAAGGACAGAGAATGCAGACGGAAATGGCAGGGGGTTCAACATCCAACCTGGCAGGGTTTTTACATAGACACTGTAGTATGAGCCTGTCTGACAACATTCCACGAGACCTGCCCAATATGACCTGCCATCTAATCAGACAGCCTTGTTTTAAAAAGGGCACATAGCATTGGTGACATCCTGAGAAAGATCCAACTACATTTGTTTTTTTATTCATTGTTTTATACTTTCATTTATTACATGTAGCTAAAATATTATTAGCCTTGCTGGCATGTCTGTGTTTTTTTAAACATTTATTTCAAAATAAACATAATAGCCTACACCAATCTCTTTCCTGTATACACATGTTTGCCTGTCTAAAAGGAGACCTACTATGGACTACTATGGACATCCCAAACCTGAACCAGCCCCAACATTAAGACCACTGGCAGGTGAAGTGAATAACATTGATTATATTGTTACAATGGCACCTGTCAAGGTTTGAGATATATTATGCAACAAGTGAACAGTCAGTTCTTAAATTTCATGTGTTGGAAGCAAGGGGTGCATCACAATTACCTCCCTAGTTCAGTAGTCAGGGCACTGATCAGGGAGACAGCCCTTAAAATGGCTGACTTTATGGTATTTAATCGCAGAATCCTTCCAGGGCACTGAAACATTCGCTCCCTAAAAAGTCCCACATTGCACTGTGAAAACCAGAGAGCATTCATCCTCATTATGTTCCCTTAACAAAAGCTCCGAAACTTAAATCATGTGACCAAACTCACTATATAACGACAGGCGTAACTATCGGTAAGCAGGGTACGCGGTTGCTTACGGGCCCGGACCAATCAGGGGCCCGCGTGACTGGAAGATGTTGATTGACACCCGGGGCCCCCTATCGCATTACTACTTTTAGTCTGATCGCATTTTACTTTATCACAAATTTATTTGACTAAATGATGACAACAACATATTTTACTGATCATTAAATACATGTGTGAAACCAACAATGATGGATTTTGTTGTAATTTGTTTCGAATTGGGACTGGGGAATCCCCAGGTCGGTAAGTGGACATACGTATTGCGTGCAAAACAGTAAAAAACGTTGGACTTGAGACCGACAATATCGATATGGAGTTACAAACACAAAAGTGGCTTTTAAAAACGAAAATAGGAATTCGAGAAATGAATGAGTAAATTACCAAAAATAGGAAGCTTCTTTAAAAAGATAGCACAGGAGGGGGAGATCGAGATTGAGCTGGAGCAAGAGAGTGAAGCACCTGAACCGACCGTTGGCATAGCAGTGAGTAACATTGTGTTAGGGTGCTCCGTCACCAGCAGTGTTTTTTCATGTGTTAAGGTGCGCATCCACCAGTGTTTTTTTTTTTTTTGTGGTGCGCATAGGCTACTCCTATTTTGTCAGTCATCTCATCTCTTATATGCTGTGTCTCTATGATCCTATCCTGTCCTATTCATGGTAGCATACTCGTGGACATTGCGTCTGTTATGTAGTGCAGTTGAAACAGAGATGAGGCAGGGTCCAAATGCAGCACACACTCTTTATTAAATAAACTCAAAACTAGGCAAAGACTCGGAGAAGACCCCTCGGGCGGCCATGGCGGTGCGGCCTTCATAGTCCCATCCAGGGTCCTACTGCCCCCCCCAAATTTTCTTAGGGGCAGCCATGGGGTCATCAGCAGGAACGGGCTCTGGCGCAGGATCAGCGGGCTCTGGCGCAGGATCAGCGGGCTCTGGCGCAGGATCAGCGGGCTCTGGCGCAGGATCAGCGGGCTCTGGCGCAGGATCAGCGGGCTCTGGCGCAGGATCAGCGGGCTCTGGCGCAGGATCAGCGGGCTCTGGCGCAGGATCAGCGGGCTCTGGCGCAGGATCGGACGGGACCAGCACATCATGGGACTCGGAATTGGGCTCATGGGCCATCATTGATGTGTGTGTAGCCCACACACACAGAATCGCCGCAGACATCACAACCAGCGCTGTATTTTGAGTGGACTCACGTGCGGTGTGCTCAGGCTCTGGCGGGCAGGCGACGGGCTCGGGCTCTGGCTGGACGTGGCTGACGTGAAGCTCTGGCTGGACGTGGCTGACGTGAAGCTCTGGCTGGACGGTCTCTGGCTGGACGGTCTCCTTGGCCCTCCGCACTGACATCAGCGGCGGCTGTGCCACGGTGGACATCAGTCCTGGACGCCCATAGACCGACGTGTTGGCAAGCTTAAAGGCTGACGTAACGAGAAGGACAGGCTGAGGGAATACTGCGGGCTCACGGAGCTCCTTCTCCTCCACGCCCACAGTAAACGATGATCGGCTCATCCACAGGGCCTGGTCAATATACTGTTCCAATGACCCGAGAGGGTCATGATTGGGCAATAATGACCGGAGAGGTTCAGATAACCCTCCGCGGAAGAAGATCTTTAAACACAGATCGTCCATAGCAGACAGATGAGCCAGCACAATAAAATCTGTGACATAGTCTTCAATGGATCGATCTTCCTGACGAAGACGCATGATCTGGACATCTGGGCACAGGGTTGGCATGGCTGCTGGATTCATGTTGCGGTGAGTTATTCTGTTATGTAGTGCAGTTGAAACAGAGATGAGGCAGGGTCCAAATGCAGCACACACTCTTTATTAAATAAACTCAAAACTAGGCAAAGACTCGGGCTAGGAACAAGACTCTGGAACAAAATAACAAACCTCAAACTAACTGCATACTGATCGACACTACAACATCAAAGCAAGAACTCACAAAGATAGGGCTGAAACACAGGGCTTAAATACAAGGGACAAACGAGCTAAACGAGATAACAAGGGGCGTGGTATACATGAACACAAACGAGGAGCGGGAAAACAGGGAACAGGACTGAACCAAATGCACAAAGACGGGGGGAACACAGACAGACATCACAACAGCGTCATCACGTGCTGTAGGGGGGGGGGGGGCCCGCCTTGATAATTCAGCATAAGGGCCTGGTGTTGGCTCGTTACGCCACTGCACACGCGATAGATTATTTTAAAAATACAAACCATTATTTTATTATATTTGAACATAAACATACATCGCTAGGCAGGTAATGAACATAATCTAGTTAACATTTATAATTTATTTACGGCTGAAATGTTACACGTATATGTAACAAGCAAAGCATCATAATGTACTTTGAATAACATTACAAGTAATGTCAGAAAGATATCAGCTCTGCTGTTGTTCATAAATACCAGTAGTGATGTTGTACAATGAGGACATTGTCACGTCGCCGGAAGTAGGGTGATCACTCAACATTGGCTCAACGGCAACGTCGTGTCCCTGGAAAAAAATAGTTGTGGTAGGATGTCATAAATCGGTAAAAATATGTAACAGAACAGATCATTTCAAAGACATCCATTCAACTTTCATAGTGGAACTATTTTTAAACCATGACCGGACGTAGCAGAGGGACATCTTTTTAACGGTCATTAAAAGTCCAAATGTTTGCTGGGCAGTGTCCCAATGTGCGGTGAGCCAGCATCCTTTACTGTCCTTACCAGTGCCAGAATTTGTGTGCACGATATACTGATTCACGAGCTCGGGAGCTAGGGAGCAGATTAAGACGCACCCAAGAAAAAAAGGACAAGCAAAAAGATCTGAGTGACTGATTTTGAAGGACCAAATAGTGATGGCTAGATGACTGGGTCAGAGCGTCTCCAAAACGGCTAGTTGGGGTGTTCCTTATGCAGTGGTTAGTATCTACCAACAGTGGTGCAAGGAAGGACAACTGGTGAACCAGCGTCAGGGTCATAGTTATGGTGCCCAAGCTCACTGATCCATCTGGTCCAATCACACAGAAGAGCTACTGTAGCTCAAATTGCTGAAAGATTTAATGCTGTCCATGATAGAAAGGTGTCAGAACACACAGTACATCACAGTTTTCTGCGTATGAAGCTGTGTAACCGCAGACCGCTCAGTAGCCTTGATGACCCCTGTCCACCATCAAAGTGCCTTCAATGGGCACATGAGAGTCAGAACTGGACCATGGAGCAATGGAAGAAGCTTGCCTGTTTTCTTTTAGATCAGGTCGTTGGTCAGTTGCGTGTGTGGTTTATCTAGATGGCAGAAGGATGCACTATGGGAAGAAGGCAGGCCGGCGGAAGCAGTGTTAAGCAAAACCTTGGGTCCTTTCATTCATGGCATGTGGATATTACTTTGACATGTAGCTACCTGATGGCAGTGGCTCCTTTCAGCAGGATAATGCACCGTGTTACACTGCAAAAATTTTTCAGGAATGGGTTGAGGAACATGACAAAGAGTTAAACGTGTTGTCTTGGCCTCCAAATTCCCCAGACCTCAATCGGATTAAGCATATTGGATGTGCTAGAGTCAGACCAACAAAATCCGATCTATGGAGGCACCACCCTGCAACTTGCAGGACTTAATGGATCTGCTGCTATCTTGGTGCCAGATACCACAGGACAGGTCAAGTATTTGATACACTGCAGATTTTGCAGGTTTTCCCACTTACAAAGCATGTAGAAGTCTGTAATTTTTATTATAGGTACTCTTCAACTATGAGTGACGGAATCTAAAATAAAAATCCAGAAAATCACATTGTATGATTTAGAAGCAATTAATTTGCATTTTATTGCATGACATAAGTATTTGATACATCAGAAAAGCAGACCTTAATATTTGGTAGAGAATAAACCTTTGTTTGCAATTACAGAGATCATATGTTTCCTGTAGTTCTTGACCAGGTTTGCACACACTGCAGCAGGGATTTTGGCCCACTCCTCCATACAGGCCTTCTCCAGATCCTTCAGGTTTCAGGGCTGTCGCTGGACAATACGGACTTTCAGCTCCCTCCAAAGATTTTCTATTGGGTTCAGGTCTGGAGACTGGCTAGGCCACTCCAGGACCTTGAGTTGCTTCTTGCTTCTTACTTCTTAAGCCACTCCTTAGTTGCCCTGGCTGTGTGTTTCGGGTCGTTGTCATGCTGGAAGACCCAGCCACGACCCATCTTCAATGCTCTTACTGAGAGAAGGAGGTTGTTGGCCAAGATCTCACGATAGTATGGCCCCATCCATCCTCCCCTCAATACGGTGCAGTCGTCCTGTCCCCTTTGCAGAAAAGCATCCCCAAAGAATGATGTTTCCACCTCCATGCTTCACGGTTGGGATGGTGTTCTGGGTTGTACTCATCCTTCTTCCACCAAACACGGTGAGTGGAGTTTAGACCAAAAATCTCTATTTTTGTCTCATCAGACCAAATGACCTTCTCCCATTCCTCCTCTGGATCATCCAGATGGTCATTGGCAAACTTCAGACGGGCCTGGACATGCGCTGGCTTGAGCAGGGGGACCTTGCGTGCGCTGCAGGATTTTAATCCATGACGGCGTAGTGTGTTACTAATGGTTTTCTTTGAGACTGTGGTCCCAGCTCTCTTCAGGTCATTGACCAGGTCCTGCCGTGTAGTTCTGGGCTGATCCTTCGCCTTCCTCATGACCATTGATGCCCCACGAGGTGAGATCTTGCATGGAGCCCCAGACCGAGGGAGATTGACCGTCATCTTGAACTTCTTCCATTTTTTAATGATTGCGCCAACTGTTGTTGCCTTCTCACCAAGCTGCTTTCCTATTGTCCTGTAGCCCATCCCAGCCTTGTGCAGGTCTACAATTTTATCCCTGATGTCTTTACACAGCTCTCTGGTCTTGGCTATTAAGTGTCTGATTGAGTGTGTGGACAGGTGTCTTTTATACAGGTAACGGGTTCAAACAGGTGCAGTTAATACAGGTAATGAGTGGAGAACAGGAGGGCTTCTTAAAGAGAAACTAACAGGTCTGTGAGAGCCGGAATTCTTACTGGTTGCTAGGTGATTAAATACTTATGTCATGCTATAAAATGCAAATGAATTACTTAAAAATCATACAATATGATTTTCTGGATTTTTGTTTTAGATTCTGTCACTCACAGTTGAAGAGTACCTATGATAAAAATTACAGACTTCTACATGCTTTGTAAGTGAGAAAACCTGCAAAATCGTTAGCGTATCAAATACTTGTTCTCCCCACTGTATATATATACACTGTGTTCCAAATTATAATGCAAGTGACATATCAGTCAGATTTCAGTACAACACACATTCAGATTTTAGTTTTTCAAAGAAAGTGTTTGTTTGTATTATTTCTCATACATTTTTAGATAACTTATATCAATCTCAGACAGGTTTGTTAGTTTGCAAGGTCTTCTTAGGTAAAAGGAAACCCTACTTAAAGAGGTTGTTCCACATTATTAAGGAAGTCACAGTTCTCATGCAACATGGGGAGGAAGAAAGATCTTTCTGAAGATGAAAAGCATGAAATGGTGCAGTCTTGCAAAAATAGATATTATCAAACTGTATTTCTTGTTGGTCACAGACGAGTGAAACAGCAATAAAACCTTTAAAATCTTTATATAATCAAGCTGTTAAAGTATTAGATAAAAAACCACTGAGATAGCATCACTGTCTGGTTCTTGGAAAATACAGTATGTTAAACTTTGATAATATAATTGTGTATGCCTATGTGCAATTAGTTTTTAAAATTTTGAATAATATTGCGCCTCCTCCCCTGAAAAAAATTGTACAGTCTTGTTCAGAACAGATGACTAGGAGTACCAGGTCAACGAGTTGCAATAATTGCAGGCTGCCTAAACGTAGCTCGGCCTTTGCACAGACAGCCTTCTCATTCAAGGGCATTAAAGAATGGAACAAACTCCCACAGAGTCTGAAACTTACTTTTGACCTGAAGGATTTTTCTCGTAATACTAGGAAAGTGCTATTGGAAAACCAGTTGTGCCAGCATAGATAATTGTGTATGTAAATATGACTTTTTAGGGAGGTTTTATTGTAGTAATCTTGGTATGATTTAGTTGGACTGATGGTTGTAATGGGGAATGGTTGAATGAATTAATTAATAGCTGTATTTGAGTGATTAATTATTACATTTTATATTGTATATATTGTATTGTAGCTAACTTACCTGCTCAGGGACTGCAGATGGAAATTAGCTTAAGCTAAATCTGGTGCAAAGCATCTTTAATTAATGTTTTTTTGCACATTGTCCCTGTTGAAATAAATAAATAATAAATAAATAAATAAATAAAAACTGTCAAAAGATTTGGGAGTGATTTGCAGCACAGAAGAACTCAGTCAGATAAAGTTTCTTACAAACAAACTAATTGTATTAAAAGGGCAGCTATTAAAAACAGGCATTTGAAGCTGCTGGTGTCTCTGGAGTCTCAGGAACCTCTCCATGCAGACTGGCAGTTGTGCATAAAGTTGCGCATAAAGAAATTTTTTCAGCCACCCCAACTAAAGCGCACAAAGAGAAACATCACAAGATCAGACACACTGCAAAATTACTATTAAAAATTATTATTACTATTAAAAATTATTATTTAAAAAAGTTAATCTCATGAAAGCTTTTTGTTTAAGAGCCCTGAAGCTCTAACTTCTAATTCCTTTTGATAATCAACAAGCAGTAACACAAGACATCCACTGGAGGACGACAGGACTTACATTCCATTAGCCAAGATACGCTAGTTTGAGGCGCACTGTTAACTGTTGACTGAGAGTGAGTCTGTTACTCTTGTAATTCTCCCTCCCTTCCTACAATCACCCCACCCACTGTGCTAACAGTCTTAAAGAACAGTCTACCCACGGGCTCGCTCAACAGAGCAACAGCGCGCTTTCCAGTTTCACGCGCACAGGGCATTCTCTCACAGAGGCGCGCGCATACAGGCAATTGGTGTGCAGAATATTTCAGCGCGTAGTGATACATAAGCTTTAGGAGCCTTTTGCTAATTCATGGCAATATGTAATACGCATTGAATGCAATATCGTAAATAGATATAGTTTTACAGTAATTTAGGAAGCTATAGGCTACTTCTACCAGTTCTCGCGGGCTGTTTTGACTATGGATTTACAGAGAATGAATGAAACTCAGAACCCATTTTGGGAATGCTCAAGAACTCCTGGCAATTCCAGCGTGGACAGCTCTGCGTTAAGCGTGGAAGTTAACGCCACCTGTAGCAATGCGTCAATAATCCAGAAATTCAAACCCACACGGCCAAAAGGTGAGGACAAACCAATGCATGTCAACGCTTGCAGTTGCATGTAATTTTATTGTCTTGTTTTTTTTATCTGTTGCATATTTTTTATTTTTATTTTATTTATTATTTTTATAATTGTTATTTACATTTCAACAACAAAAAACAACATGAAATGAAACGCTCAACGCTAAAAATGGTCTTTCCCCCAAAACAAATAATTTATTATTGTATAGCTATAACGTGCCTGAACATTAATGAAATAATTCCAAAAGCCACTACGCCCCAGCAACCACTATACTGCACATAGACGCATTAAAGAAAAAAAAAAAACTTTAGCAGCTTGTTTTTCCCGTATGTTTGTGTTTATTTTTTTAAATGCTCATTAAAATGTGTTTATTTTCTTTTAATAGTACATCAGTATCTTTAAAGGTGCTCTAAGCGATGTCACGCGTTTTTTAGGCCAAAACATTTTTTGTCACATACAGCAAACATCTCCTCACTATCCGCTGGCTGCCTGTCCCCTGAACACACTGTAAAGAAACGCGATCTCTGTAGACAGCCCATGCTCCACAAACAGCAACAAAAACAAACTGCGGCGACCCGCTCCCCGAAACATAACAAACTGTTCCAGCCAATGACCGACAAGAAGGGTTTGGGGGGTTAGTGTGCGGATGAGGAGGAGGGAGGGTCTAGCTAGCCTCCGTTTGGTTTGACAATAGTTCGAACGTCAACAAGAAGTGACATCACCCAGGATCGCTTAGAGAACCTTTAACATAACCACTGTATTTTAAATAATAATAACATAGTCAATATTTTTCCTGTTTCAAATTATTTTAAGAACTTCAAGGATGTCAGAGGTAATGGTTAGTGTTAAACCCCAAGAATGCTCTTTGCATTTTTCAGCTCACTTCATCATCATAATAATCTTTGAACATACATGTGGTGTTTGCTTCATTAGGACGTGGAATAATCATGGGTAAATGGTCACTATACTTAAAAACCCTGACCCCTAGAATGACTGGCGGGAATGAGAATGATGATCCTATTTCTAAATAACAATTTTGTTTTAAATTTATCAGTTTGTGCAAGGTTATGAATCATAGTGACACAAGTCAGGGGGAGTGTTAGTTTGGCAGCAGATTAATGCCTGCAAGGACCTTCTGGCTACAAATATTCTGTCTGTTAATTTCAAACATCTATAATATAATATATCCAATTTGACATTGATAAACCTAATAAAACCCCCCAGCTGGGAATACAAATTATTCCATTTGATTACATTTTTATGCACAAACACCCATCACAGTTTCTTACCTCTGATTACAAAACTTCTACAGCATTTCAGTCACCTTTTTCTAATTTATGGATCCAGACAATGGCGACTCACTAAATCGGGTGGTTTTGCTCTTTGAAAAGGTGGGCAGATTCTCATTTGAGAGAGTTCTGATGTGTTGACTTACAGTGTAAATGATGAAAGGTGGTGGCATACAGTTGGCAAGCATAAATTCGGAGTAGTTTTAGTTGATATATCAGAAATGGTAATTACAGGATTGTAATGAACTAATTAGATATACAGATTCTCTGACTGGAGAAATCCCACTCTGGGTTGTGCCCAAGGTGTTGCTGCATGGCCATGTTTGGTAGATGACGTAAATAAACCATCATAAAGCAAAGAGCTTCTTTCCCCACTGAGAGAAATATCAGTTTATTCTGACAAAATATTTTTTTTTGTAAGCAGCATTTTTTATTGAAGAGTCTTAAATGCGTAAACATCAACATATTTCTCATGTCACAGTATAGTCACTGGCAGAGGTATAAACAAGCAACCTGGTCTTGCAATCAATCAATCAATCAATCAATCAATCAATCAATCAATCAATCAATCAATCAATCAATCAATCAATCAATCAATCACCCCATTTTAAAATGATAAATTAATACAAAAAAATGCTTCACATAGTACAACTGGCCATCTAAATCATTGAATACATATCGCGCTCTCTCTCTCTCTCTCTCTCTCTCTCTCTCTCTCTCTCTCTCTCTCTCTCTCTCTCTCTCTCTCTCTCTCTCTCTCTCTCTCTCTCTCTCTCTCTCTTGTGTACACACTTATGGAAAAGAAAGCAGCATTCGTTTTGCAGAGAGCTGAGAAATGTAGAAACATCTTAGGAAATAAGACAAACTATGGCCATTAATAATGCCATCATGTAGAGTGTGGGTCGAACAGTAGGTGGGGATATTTGACAACTGCTAGTAGCCACTTGCAAGCCCAAACACATGACTGTTTTCTGGAATAAAGCCCAATAAAACCGCAACCCACGACGAAATTATTATTAGCAACTTTATGAAAAAACTAGCTGCTTATAATAAGAGGAAATTGTAGTTGCTAGTAAAGGCCTTGGGACTGCATGTGTTTATTATCGAACTGCCATTATCATTGCCATGACGCCATGTCTTTTTCGCTAGAGTCGGTAGTCACATTGCATTTGCTGCTCAAATGATTGGCTCAAAACTGTGCCTGCTGAGCAAGGTGCACTGAGATGAATGAGAATGCTAATGGATAGCTTGTTTAGTGTAATGTGATCATTTAATATAGTTATTTTAATATCACAAATGTCTGTGTTAGAGTGTTTTACCTATTTCTATACAGTTGCGATGATAATGCATTAGTATGGAGATATGATTTTCTGAATGTTTGAACTATTGACTATTTGACTATTCGGAGAGAGGCGTATTACCCCACTTTATTTATTTTTTCCATATGTGAAAGGAGTGCTTTTCTGATAATATTTCACAAATCTCTCACGCTCCACTGACTTGCTGTCTTCTTCGTCTTGCTCACTCCTCTCCTCTCCTGTTTCTTTTTCTATTTCTGATCCTGATATTGGCTTCACCATCTCTTGCCAACTACCTGATTGGAGTGTGAAGTGCGACATTTTAAGATAAATCACTCAGTGTCTTGAGGGGGAGCCCACACATATCTTGTTTCATCACGTCTTAGAGCAGACATAATTGCGCGAACTGGCAATTTAAATCACAAAATCATTCAAGGGTTGTTGGTTCTGCTGGGGCCCCTGTCTGTTCAGGGCCTTTAGAATCTTCCTCGCTTGTTACAACGCCGCTGGCTATTTGGTCCCATCATGCACTGCTGCAGCATGAATAAAATATGCGGTAATAAAGTATCACTGTTTGCTGGCTTTAAATGAATGTAGTTGTTGTTGTTTTTTATGTTCAAATTTTACAGCATTTTTATAAAAAGCGAGTACATCATGAATCCATTTTCCAAACCATGTTTTTGTCTTATCCCGAATCACTACAGTACACCTACAAGTGTATGTATTCGGACTATTTTAGACTGGTACGGGTCATACCACGTGACTCTTCATAGACATAAACAGAGAGAAGTAGATCCGGCTACAATGTTCTTCCGCAAGACACATGCAGTTCTGTATATTAACCGCTAGAGTGCCAAAAGTTACGGACAGCAGCTTTGATGTTAGTTATTTGTTGTGGGTTGATGTTAAGAGCCCACATTTTTTACTTATCTATGTTAATTGTTGGGGTCTATATGCATGTATATGTTCTTCAGAAGCAATAGTCATAGAGTTAAATACAGGAGCCATGTTAAAGCCCTTTCAAATGCAAGACTGTTGTGTTACCATGATAATAATTTATTGGCTGAACAGGATATTATGCATTTATTGCACAAACAAATAATTCAAAAAGGTTAAATAAAGAAGTGTTACTGTTGACAATTATTACGTTTTATAGGGTTGTCTGTGGTGTAGAGAAAAATGAGCTCATTATTTACTAAGTAAGAAAAATAACTGCATTGATTTCATGGTTGGATGCTTAAGCTGTGTTGCTGTCTTTGGCTCTGAAATTGAACCGAGGCTCTTAACATTAGACTTTGGCACTGTGCCTGAATAAAATGGCTTTAATTTTTAATTGGCTTCAAATGACAGCAAATCCTTTTACCCAGTCTAATTATGTGACATTCTAAAAATCACAGTGTGGCGAGCAGGATGAGGCAGAGGGCCGTTTGATAAATACCAAAAAATAAATTTGTTTCATTTATTGTATTAAAGTTTTTGATTGTTCGCCGGTTCCCGCCTCCTTCTTCCCACAATACAAAATGAAAGTAAAGACAGCAGCCCCTCACGGACGACTGCTGTCACTTATAACAAAACACAGCATAAATCCAGGCCTGGCCTCTCTCCATCCTCACTGTCGTCGCTCCTCCTTTATGCTTCCGCTCCTCCGTGAGAGATACGAGACTGGTGCGTCGCGCAGGTGTCACTCATTATCAATCACGCCACCGGCCTCACGCCGTTCTCTCACGGCCCTCGGCCTCGTCCTGCTCGCCACTCACAGACTCACATTTAGTCATTTATTTATCAAATTAAGAAGGACCTTTTCATAATTCTGGCACAAGCAATGCCTGTATATAATTTCCAGAATTCCAGAATAAGTAAAACTCATGAAGAAAGCAGCTAACCTGACCAATGAATAAAACATCATAAAGATGAATTATTGAAATACATACATTGTTGTTTGCAAGGACAATCACGGCAAAAAATAATTATTCAGACTTTGCTTACTGCAAATAGAATGCCTCATATGTTAGGTGTTGGTTTAGGAAAGGGTGAGTAGTGAGGATACTACCCCTTGAAGCAAAAACACAGTCCCGGCTGTTAAGCTGCCTTCACGTGCTATATGAACATTTCTTTTGCTTCCACTTCTGAAGTCATAGAGCTGCTCGATTCTGGATAAATTGACAATCACACTTTTTTTTGTTTAAAATAGAGATTACGATTGTCCCTGATCCTGAATAGACAACTAAACAAACCTGCCTATTTAAAAACATATTTCATTGATTTTAATTAATTTATTATTATTATACATTTATTTTTTAATTGGTTTGAATGAATTCACTCAGAATTCACTTGTTTTATTACTGGATGAATCAGCATTTTTGAACAAAATCTCTTGAAGAAATTATTTAATGACAAATATGGGTGCTTCTC